CTTTGTAAATAGGGAAGGGTGGAGGGGGTGAAGGGAGGGCTAGGAATGGGGAAAAAATAAGAACCAAGATGCATTACGTAAAGGTACAATTCCCAATGAGGAAATGTAATTGTGTTGTATACCTACAATGTACCAATAAAAGAATTTAACAACAAAAAAACCCAAGATGTAACACAACCAGCTGTCAAGCACATTTTCTTCTCAAGAAATCCCAATCATCTCAATTTAAAAGGTTACTAGTTGGCAAATCTAATAAACTCCTGATTAATTAAAATGCATGTAGAGTAATTGTTTCGGTTAATTGAATGTTTTAATTAAATCAAGCTTCAACCACTTTTAAAAATACATTAACAACTAACTTAGTATACACAATATTCAGGACATGATTTAATTTATTTTTTTCCTAAACTTAAAGCACCTTCAAATTAGAAGTATAAATACATGTACAGTGAATACAGTTAGGTTCAGATTATACCATAGATTTAAATGACACAAGGAAATGGGCTGAATCAGTGTTGCCTCTGGGACTAACATGGAATTTACTTAAATTTCAACACTTAGTTATCCACGTTTTTAAACAAATCTTTTGCAATAAAGAAAACTTGTGAGGAAAGACTCAAGACTACACCTACAGGAATGAAAGTTCATACAGGGCACTGAAGAGCAAAACACACCCAACAAAGGGGAAAGATGTGGAAAGTACACACAACTCAAGCTGCAAGAGCAAATGGGTAAGCTCTTTTAGGGATCCCTGTAACCAATACCATCACTGGTTTCAAGGAAAGTTCTGGGATAATAGGTGGTATTTCCATGGTGCTTCAAAAGAACTGAGGTATTCATTTACCAAGCGGAGTATGCAAAAGGAGCAAGGCTCCCAAACTGTCGACCCACACAGAATAGAATGGGTGCACCTCCACTCCCCACTTCCAGGCTCCCCTGTGCCCAGGGCACGCTGCGAGCTGGCCTATGAATGCCAGGGTCCTCATGGCTTCAGGTCTACCTGGGTGAGATACTGAGAAATCTCTTCCAGGTGCCTCAGAAGACCCCTATCTCTTTACAACCCAGCAAGTGCTCATCACTTTCTGGCCTCTCCGTGGTTAAGCCCAGCTCACGTAAAGTTATGAGGGCACAGCCACTTGCTGTCTTGAACCTGCTTCTGTCCGTCTCAGGTAAAGATTTCAGAAGTGAATAAAATCATTATTCTTGATTAACATAGAACAGGTACATATTCTCGAATTGTTTCTACTTTGCTTAACAAAATACCAAGTAACTTTAAAAAATTTTCCCAGACCACATAAAGTAAGGTATTCTCCAAATAAATGGGATTCTATTATGTTGAGCAGCTAGGCAAAACATTGAAATCAAATCAAATAAATCAAAACTGAAAACAAATGTATTTATAAAGACAATATTTTTATTTCACCTTCCCTAATGTTTGTCCCCCACTTTTCTGTTTGTTTGTTTTTTGGTACTGGGGATCGAACTCAGGACCTTGCGCTTGCGAGGCAGGCGCCAGAACCACTGAGCTAAATCCCCGGCCTTTGTCCCCCACTTTTAACAAAAGATGAAGGCCTTCTGGAAGTGCCATGGGTCAGGTTAGCTTTGTCACAGGTTCTGAAATCTTTATGCGTATGATAAAGACGTTATTAGCTTAACCAATGTTTCTCAAAGTTCATGTTTATAGTTATCTAAAGTCAACCTGGGGCCCAGAGTAATAACTGAATCTCAGCCACAACTCAAGAAGGCAAACTTCTAGTCAAATTTAATAGACAAACAAAACATTATCACAGTGAATAAAATATTAAAGCATTGCCCTTTTTCCATTCAATAGCATAAAGATGAATTTTCTGTTATTGTTGTTGTCATACACTTAAAACTCTTTAAAACCAAGCCAACTAAAGAAAAAGACCGCTGTGATACACAGATACACACAGTTAGCACTGCAGACTTTATACAAATAAGTAAAACACATGGTACCCATGTCCAGAGCCTTCTGGAAATCTCATCATATAGGTCACCAATATTACTCAATGTTACATTTCCGACAAAATGAGGCATTTTTTTAAAAAACCTTATAAATATATAAATCCAAACCACAAAACATTTCCTAAACATTATATTTACTCAAAGTACAAATGAATTTCTGGAAAATGCATTCACAGTGCTACCAAAACTAGATTTTATGGACTTATAAACGTGGTTAGCTATATCTTGGGGCTTAAATTCATTGGACCATACCCCACATAAACTTTCTCCTCATACTTACCAAGGGCATACGTGTTCTCAGAGTTAATAGTAACACAAATAAAATCAAACTGCTATTCAAGATAAATATCAATTTCTCCTCCATAAGGAGATTGGAAGTGGCCCACTGTAACTATTTTGCACAACAAATACTTTATCACAAACAAGTTAAAGTACCCTTAGTGATGCCCTTTTCTAAGAGTTATAAATATTTAATGTTAATATCATTAGTGATGAGGTTTAGAGACTAAAAAGCTTTTCTCCCCTAATTTCTGTAAATATTCTATTCTCCCAAACCTAAAATCTGCTAGACAATTCATTCTCATAAACATATACATTCAACTTCCCCTACATCCTGAAAAGTCCATGAGCTCAGGTCTCATAGCTTATGCTTTTATTTGAAATAAATTTAAGAACGTCAATCTATTCCCAAACTGACTTAACTACAACAAGGGTAATAACATGCTTAAGTTGCACTCTGCCACCTCCACTTTCCTCCCTTGAAGGGGCTTTTCCAGCAAGGTGTCAGTTTCGAGTGTCCCTGGCTATTGCTTTGCCTGGATTTCTTTCTATAGCACACAGTTCTGCACATAACACAACAAAAAACTTAGGTTCTCAAAACTTCAACCCATGAACTAATTGTTTCTGGGTTTTCACTGTCACAATTTACCCCCAACTGTTGTAGGATTAAGTTAAATAAATCCTAATAAAATATTTTAAACTAGGAATTTACAGCAGCTAATTTAAATGGAACCTTGGTGGGACAAGGGGTGAATGAGCAAGGTAGTTAAAAATAAAGCAAAACTAAGATGTTTTAAGGAAAGATTCAAATGGAAGTTCCCATGAACAATAACTGTTCTACAAGAAGTTCATTCTCTTCACTTCTTTTCAGAGAAGCTGGAGGAGAAAGGGAAATGAACATGGAGGGAAGACAAGTGGACTTATTCTGCCATGAAGCCTACTTTGATGCAAATTGATCAATGTTTTCTATTCTCCTTAGTAATACACCAAAACAGGTATTCAATGAGACTACCCAAGGGAACAGGCCTAGTGTCCTCTTGGCAGGGGTGAATGCCCAGAGGGGACAGGTGTCTCCAAGGAGCAGCAATCTCACAGCGACATTACCTTCAGAGAAAGCACCTGAAGAAGATTGGGGTTCCAACACCCAGACTATGAGGGCACAGACTACAAACTCAGGTTGTGGAGCAACTTTGCTCCAGTGTCACCCCCCCATGTAGACTCCCCATGACTGTGAAAGGAGCAATCAGCGCAATCCTAATCTCTGCAAAGACCTCTCCTCCTTCACCATGCACCTCACTCTCGGGCCGTCTGGAGGGGCCTTGAGAAATGCTGCCCCTGCTCAAGGAAGTCTCATGGCTGTCACAGCCCATAAAGACTGAGCTCACACAGCTTTGCTTCTTTACTAATTCCTAAGTACAGAACACTTTCACCCACCGAGTCAACACCTGAATAGAAAACAGACCAGAAACATATGGCCAAGGCCTTTGTTGATGCCACGGACGCTAATCATTAGGAACATAAAAGAATGTAAATTATATAAATTATCAATTAACTTCAAACATGACAATATGTGTCAAATTCCATATTTTGCATATTGATCAAGAAGGGAGTGCCATACAGTCCAGAAATTCATGACAAACGCATTGGCAAAAACCATACACCATGAGGATGACCAGGCTGGAAGGCACGAGGCTGACAAAGACAACCCCGAGGGTGACCTTTTTAGACACTAGTAAGTAGATTCCCAAGGGTAAGGAGCTGAAATACAACAGCCCCAGCAGCCACACTAACACCCGGATGGAGGTCTGAAACAGCAGGGAGGTGCAGTTCCACACAGTCCAGCTGTGAGGCACAGTGGTGACAGAGTCGAAACTTGCAGGCCTATAAAATTCGACCACAGGAGTGGAGCTCAGAGACGTGGAGCTCTCTCGCTGCACCTCCATGATGGTTATGACCAGGCAGTTGGAGGACGTGTGGGAAGGGCTGACGAGGGAGGCCAGCCTCTTGGGGGTCAGCAGCAGCTCGGTGGGGTTCTCGGGCAGGCACTTCTTCCCTTTGCCTCCACAAGTCAAGTTTACCAGGATGTTGTTGTCATCAGGCAGGCTACTAACTTCATCGTCTGGCAGGCATGTCTCAAACCTACAGAAAGGGCAGACGATGACACCCTGTGGGGAGTCCCCAAAGTCAATGATCTTGTACAGGCATTTGGCACAGACCCTGTGACAACACCCCAGCACTTTGGGTTTCCTCTGCTTCAGGTTGTACCGACTGTAACAGATCTTGCACTCCAGCTCGTCGGAGACTTGAGCCTCTGCAGGGTCTTCGGGCAGCTGACTGGCCATCTTGAGTGACAGAAACAGTCTCGTGCAGAGGTGTCCAGCCGAGGAACAACTTTGATTAAGGCGTCCCACTGAGAATCATATCATCTGAACCAGGCAGGCAGGGGGAAAGGCTGGAAGAGTGGTGGGAAAAACCAGAAACTGTCCAGGCATTCTCAGCTTCTGCTTATAATTGTCTCAAATGCATCTTTAAAAGGCCACATGAAGGGTCTGCAAAGAAAAAGAGAGATTCTAATATAGTGAGCAGCTCATTGAAAAGGTGTTGCTGAAAGGTGCTTTATGGGATTTTCTGAACTTCAAGCATTAGAAGCAACAGACTTAACAGGTTAAATCCCTTCATCTTTTCACACCTTTCCCCACCTGTCCCCAGGACAGGGAAGTGTTTTCGCCACGCTTAGCTGTTCTGGTCCACAAATATGATCAGAAGGAGTTAAAATCCTAATGGGTGTGAAGTACACTGCACAGTGTGTGCTCTACAGTGTCTTTCAGGTGGAAGAGTTTTTCTCTCTGAAATTTCACCCTTTTGGAAAACAGAATGGGATACACATCAGATATAGACTAATTCAGAGAATGAGCGGGGTAAACAACAGTTGCTTAAATTTTTTTAAAAAATAGAGCTTACAAGTGTTTTTGGTACCAGAAAACAGAAAAAAGAAGAGGGTCTTGAGGATAAAGGTTAATAATGTGTTTTCAGAAAGTGTGTTGAGAGACGAGAGCATTTTTAAGTGGAGCAGACGGCTTTCACCTTCTCCGTGTAAAGAAATCTGTCACATAAATGTCTTTCTGGTTTGGCTATTCAGTTTCAAAGTTTCTGTTTCAATGCTGGTTTTGAAAGCCATAGTTTTGCATACACATTCACACAAGGTAGAATGCATAATGCCTCCAACATAAGCACTATAAACAAGTCAATCTAATTACTGAGAAAGAGAAGAAAACACAGGTAACACATGCTCAGTTATATCTCCACACAGGAAGGATTCCTGCGTGGCTATCAAGGAATACTCAACATTCACCTACGCACCTATTTTATTTCATGTAAACCATCTTTCTATGGTAAAGAGAAAGCATAATGCAAGCTTCAGTCTCATGACTAATAACAGCAATATTACTATCACTGGCTTTGGCCAAATAGTTGGAGGTTGACTGCTCATGTGCACAATCAACTGTCAATTTTCAGTGATTATGGAAGGGAGCAGCAATATGGGAATCTTCCAAATCAGTTTCATTTAGCTTGAATATATATATGTGGTGTTTGGGGTAGTAAATCTGTCTTAAATTATGCTTTGCCTGGAAAATATCAAAATGTATTTGAATTTCTGAGCACACCCCAAGCAATAATAGCAGAAGGCTGTCATAACATTTCTGGGAAGTGGAATGCAACCATGCCAGAATTTAAAATTTGGTATGGATCACACTGCATTAACAGAGAAGAGGTAGTGGGTAGCTAAGCTTGGACAATTTTTAAATTTATGAATAGCTGACTTGTGTAAACACATTATCTTTCTTCTTATGACCAGCTAATTTTTAAATTGATTTCCTATTCTAAAAGAATGTATAATGGATACCAGTGGCACTATGCACAACTGTGGCAAAAGAAAGTCAATCAAGAGAATCTCTGGCGATAAGCCAAGGCATTTAGGTAGAATTTTTAAAAATAGAGTTTACTATACATAAATTCCTATGTTTCAAAATTGTCACCATGAGCTAATATCTACTGTATCTAGGCTACACATAAAAGAGGATATATAGACACAAATATCAACTCTTCTATTCCCTTTCCTTCCATGTGCCCTACGTATTTTCCTCATTCTTGAACCTGACTGTGTTGAGGATATATATGTCCATGTCACTGCAAAATGTGACTGTGTCTTGCATACGATTACACAAAGATGTTGGTTAGGTTTGATTTTTCCTTCTATGGAATGAACATCTCCAAAATGACAGCCAAAGAACAAGGTGATTTATCTCAGTCACCACCCCTGGGCCTCGCTGCCTTCACAGAATGGTCCCCAGGCCTGGGCAGCTCACTGGTGACCTGTTTCTTGGACAGCTTCCATTCATGCCTTGCTGGTTACAGTGCTCATACAGCCAGCCCCCTTGTAGCCACACACAGACCAGAAGCTCATCCAAATGAAATATCCAATACTACGTTCTCTTTGCAGATTCTTCCCACTCAGCTTCATGCCTTTCCAAATTCAGGCATCTTGAAGACACAGTAGTGAGTTAACAGCAGCAATCACCCCCATTGCCATGGAAAGAACTAAGGTATGAAGAGTTGTATGAAAAGGAAAAGAAAGTTTGAAAGCACATTTGTCCATAACAATATTAGAGAAAAAGAGGGTAAAACAGCCAGTGAGGATAACTAAGCAGAATTGTATCTAAAGGGATAGAAATCTAGAGTAGACAAATACAAACACCATCAAAGGTTTTTGTGTGAGAACACATTACACTGTCAGCATCTGACAGTCAGCTGGCCACATTCCTACTTTCTGTGCCAAGCTTCCAGCCATTAGAGGAAGAGGAGAAATGTTCTACATTGGTCCAGCCACCATTTCTAGCTGCTAATTCTTAGAACCTGAAATATTTGCTTAACAATATTGAGCTGTTATTTGAAATAGCTTTCTTTTTCACAGAAATATTCCATCAGACCTTTGAATTCATTAAGATACAGTGTGGTGTGATCATAATGTTTATATCTATAAAAATTCATATAGGAGCTCCTTAGTAACATGCAAAGAAAAGACAAGTGTTCAAATATCCAATCAAAAGAACACCAACTGTAGCTCCAAGGCCAACTCCAACAAACCCACTCCATCAACCGGAAGCTGATGGGCACCGCTGGGCAGCCCTGCTGACAGCCTTGAGCTCTGGCAGTATCCCTGGCAATGCAGCCACCACACGTGTCTCTGCCTGGAGTGGCAGAAAACAGCATGGAGACAGTGTCTCTTGAGAAGCCAGGCTACCAGATGCTGAAAAACAAAATTCACCTGTCCCACTGTGACTCTACAAGTCCCTCAGAGAACCTTAATAGTCTTGTATTCTTGGAATAAACCCCACCTGGCCATAGTTGGGTCATAAAATACAGTGATGGGTTCTTCTGGCTAATACTCATCTAAAATTTTGCATCTATATTCAAAATTAAATTGGTTTCTATACTTTTTTGGCACTCTACTGGGTTGTGGTATTAAATGTGTGCTTATTTTATAAATTCAGTATTTTTCATCTTCCGAAATTATTTAAATAATGGTAAAATTATTTGTTCTTTAAAGGTTACATAAGACTCAGTTGTAATTCCCTATGATCCCATTGTCATTTTCATGAGTGGATCTTATTACTTTTCCATCTATTTCATGACTATTGTTTTATTCAAATTTTCCATTTCTTCTTGAGTCAAATTTAGATTTATATTTGGCAAAGAAAAAAATTTGTTTCTTCTGGTTTTTCAAATTATTTGCCACACAACTGAACAAATTTTATACTGTTTAATCTTTTCTGAATCATTCCTTTACCTCTGATTATGTCCCTTTTCTCACTTGTAGTCTTCTAAATTTTTTACTATATTAATTTTCTAATCAAACAAATCCACACAATAGCCAATTATTAATGTATTTATCTATTTTTATTTCATTAATTTCATTTTTTCTTTATTAGTCCAATTTATTTTAACTTGTTTTGTCATTCATTTTTTATTTCATAATAAAAGTACAGTCTTTATTTGTAAGTAATAAATTCATCCAAAGACTAAATTTTCCACTGGCCACAGCTTTGCCTCTGTCGTTTTGGGATAAGTTAGGCTCATTTTATTGATTTCTTGATAGTTTATCATTTGACTTTTGATTTTTTTCCTTTGATACAAATGTTACAAAGAGCATTTTATAAAACTTCTAAATAGTAAATTTTGTATTACCTTTTATTTATTTCTAATGTTAATGGATTGATCAGAGAATAAGATCTATAAAAATCTCTTCCCTTAAATTTATTAAATTCCTCTTTTTAATCAAGTATAAGGTCAATTTTTCTAGGTATTTGAGAAAGGAACATTCTTCAGTCAAGAGAGACAAGATTCCAGTATATCTATTAAATCTAACATTTATTTACTCATTGTTCTATCTTAAGCTCTGTACAAGGTTATTACAGGCAGAGACAGTTGAGAGCTTTATTAAAGGGTCTCAGCATAACTTACATTTCTCATAGTTTTACTTTACAGATTTTGTGGCTATGTTATTTTGCATAAATTTTTCCTTTTTATTACTATATATTTTCTTTCCTTATTTATGTCTTGAACTTAAATACCTTGTCTAAACCCACTGTTGATAGTTCTACTGACTCTGCATTTGCCTAGGATTTTTATCCATTCTTTGATATTCAACTTCAATTACTTCCTTTCAAATATTTCTATAAGTAACATATAACTGGATTCCCCTTTTTAACTTAGTCTGACAGTGTCAAATTTTTAATGGGGAAAAATCCAGTTTATGTATGTTTAAGATTGTTGTATGGGAACTTACACTTTCCTTCTCATTTGAGCTACTTAATTAAATTTGAAATTTTTCCCTCTTGTTATCTTCCATCATCTTGAGTCTCTGGTTAACGTTTTGTTTGGCACTATTTTCTTGAGTATTTTTGTCAAAGAATGGTAATGTCTCTAAATTCTTGCATAAGAATGAACTTTTTCACATAGAGAAGGAAACAGTCACTTGGCTATGTATGGGGTTTTCAGAAAGCTGGCTTTTTCTCTCCATGATCTATGCAAGTTATTCCACTGTCTCCAGCATCCTGCGTTATAAATGAGAAATCTGTAGCTAATCTGATACTTTTTCATCACAGGTAATTAGCTCTGTCTGGAAGTTTCTAAGACTTTGTTCTTTATTTCTAACAGTTCAAGAACTTTTCCAATACATGCAAAGGTGTCTTTTTTCATAATCTTGCCTGGAACTTAATGAGTCATTTGAATTTACAGACTCAAGTCTTGATTTTTAAGCTCAGAAAATTTGTTTCTTATATTTATCTAATTATTGCCTTTCTTCCATCTGCTCCTTTTTCTCTTTCTGGCTCTCCTATTACTCACATGTTCTACTTCCTGGATCTATTTTTCTCTTGTGATTTCCATTTTGCTTTATATTTTGCTTTGCACTTTCAGATTCTGCCACTTGACCAACAAAGCTATCAATTCAAGTCTCAAGACTCAACAATGCCTTCAATTCATT